CTAAATCCACAAGTGCTTTGCAGTGTTCTGCAATGGCAGTGGCCTTTTCTTCAGTCAGAGAAATTGTCATCTTGACTGAGTCTAATCGAAACCCTAGAATGATCAGTGTTTGACTAGGTTCAAAAACTGACTTGCTGGGGTGACTTATAAACCCTAGGGAGTCAAATTGTTCTACAGTATCAAGCACATTATTTTTGCATTTGTGAAATGTTTGACCTTGTAGGTATAGGTCATCTATATAATTGCTTGAAATATGCCCTTTCTTGTGAAGGGCTGTGAGGGGAGGTTTCAAGATTTTGGTAAACAACCTTGGACAACAAGACAGTCCATTTGGCATGCTGGTAAATTGGTAAAGGTTCTGATTCCACAAAAATTTTAGATATTTCCTATGACCTTTGTGCACTGGAAAAGTATAGTATGCATCCTTTAGGTCAACTGAGGCCATAAAGCAATTTTTTGTCATAAGATTTGTAATTGTTTGTAGTGTGTCCATTTTAAAATGGGTATACGTCACAGACTTGTTGAACTCTTTCAAGTTCAGAATGAGTCTGAATTGTCCATCTTTTTTCTGTCTGACAAAAATAGGAGAGATTATCTCCCCTGGTTAATTCATGTGACGCTATTTCAATTACTTCCCTAGCAAGTAGTCTCTCGATTTCAGTATTTATAGCTAGTGTCTCAATGTGACTAAATTTTGGGTTAGGATTAACCCTACCTTGGTGTGGTAGTTCATCGAGGGGTATTGTAATACCTCTGATAGAGTCAAGTATTATTTTGTCTGAGGTCAGATTTTTCCATGCTGTAAACCTCTGAGCAGTCCTGCCTGCTTTGAAATCTATACATTTTTGTTCAAGATATTGGATCAAAAAGGAAAAATCGAAATAACTGCAACTTACATTCTCTTTAAGTGTTTGCATTTTCTCAGCTAAACTCACTTCCTTTGCTGGTTCTGGGACCCGTTGCCTCTCGTGCCGGGTCGCCTGCGATATGGTTTTTGGCCTCTCCATAAAAAAGGCCTCGTAGATGTATTTCTACCACGGTTGTCACCCGTGTATGAGTTATTAATATCCTCACGGCTGTAGGTGTGAGTATTGCGTCTACTCGTATTTGCTGTGCTAGTAATTGCGAGCTGTTCTTGGCAGCGTCAGTGTGCTTGCAATGCTGTTTATTTCCTTTGAGTCGCGAACCAGTTTCGCCAAGTCATCGCCAAATAAGAATTTTGAGTTTGGCGGAACAGTTGCATGGCAAATTTTTTGAAATTCTGGTTTCAACGCTGGTTTAATCGACTCCTGTCGCATGGACATTACATCAGCATTCATATGCCCCAACATTGCAATGAGGTTCACTGCGATGCGAAGTAATGCCTCGCGGTCATTGCCTTGTTCTTGGTCAATGCCGAAGGTTGATTTTTGGCGCTTAAAGTTTCCGCCATTTGAAGCATGGCAAAAACCACTTTTTGGACATTTTGTTGCATTCTTGACAGTCTAAGATCTGTTTTCTTTTTGTGTTGGCTGATTTGAGACCATATTTCTGGATTAATGCGGCTAACTCGCATAGCTTCACAGTTTAGCGGTTGTTTGTATTTCTCGTTTATTTCCTTGATTTTGTCAGGACTTAATTTTTCAGTCCAGTGATTAATAGCTATAGTTGCTAGTTTTCCCCCCACTGTGGACCCTAGACTTTTGTCTTCACTGAACTGTTGTTCCAGTTCTTGAAGCAAATCGTCGTCGGTAAATCAGGGCTTTCGTCTTGTTGTTGCAGCGTATCGCTGTCATTCAGTAACTGCCTTACCTTGTCATCACTGGCCGTTACGCTAAGACTGTCCTCATTTTCATGAGCTGAGCGACGGCGTTTTGCTGTGTGTTCATCTCGCTCCGACTCAGAGGAGTATTGATCCTCTTGTTGTCGTTTTTTGGCCTTTGCAGTTTTCCCGCCAGAATCGACGTGCTGCCATATTTGGCCCAATATTGCAGCCATGTTGGCCATATTTTCGTTCATTGTGGCCAAAGTTTTAGCGAATTGTTCATTAGAAACATCGCTGTTCATGCTCTGTGAGCTTGTATGTTGCCCATTCAGGGCAGATTGTTCGTCCTGTGGACTAGCGTTGGGCTCATCGTCGTCAAAGGCTTCCTCTTGTTGACGATGGCTATGTTGTTCATCTCTTCCCGCATCCATATTTTGGTCGTTCTTACTTGTTTCGAACAAACCTGCTATAAATATGGAAAAAAGAGTCAAGGAATTGCAAATTATTGAAATTAGGGAGCGCTACTTACGGTTTGAGTGTGTCTCCCACTGAATATTTATATATTTTCTTCAGAGCTCTTCAGAACACGTTCGCCGATCGACAAAGCAAACCATGCACTGACTGACAAGCAATGCGCATGCTTTTCATGGTACTCCGTAGTGACGTAGCTGATGATGAGATAGAATTGGATTCCGCATGTCACGAGGTAGGGTGCGTCATCTACTTTCGCTAGCAATTTCTTGTCTATCTTGCTCGGGTCCTGTTCTGTCTGCGCCCACTTGAAAAACAGCTTTTCGGACTCTTCAATTTCTTTCACAGATAGTAATCCGGATTCTTCTGCTTTGTCTTTAAATAATGCGTAAAACGTAGAACAAAGGCTAATACTCGTCGTGCCCTTCGAAATGTCGAACATGTTTGTAGTATGTGTTCAAAGACAGAATTTCTCGCTGGTTGTTTGGAACTCGCGTTACATTGGATTTCTTCTATGTCCCTTATCGGTTTCTTGACTTTTTTGTACTCCGTTTCACTTATTTCTCCTCCGTTTCACTTATTTCTCCAGTAGGCTCGTTAAAGACAAGATAGTCATCATCAGGTAGTTTGAGAAATTCCGGACCTTTCATCCAGTTGATTATCTGGAATTCCTCTTGTTAAGGCATCTGCGGGATTTTCTTCAACTTGATATACTTGGAAGTCCCCACGTCAACGGACTCTTGGATTTCGGCTACCCTAGCGGATACAAATGGCTTGAACTTTCTTGGAGAGCTTTTTATCCATGTTAACACCGTCTGTGAATCCAACCAGAGCACCGTCTTGCAGTTATCGATCTCGGATAAAGATAGCGCTTCTTTGCAGGTTCGGTAGAGTCTCACAAGAGTAAGACATCCCATCAGTTCGAGTATTGGTACAGACTTCTTTAAGAGAGCAACGAACGCTTTCACCATAAGAGGTCTACAAAGGAAGGTTCCATCACTGAGTTTCCATCGTAGGAAGATTACAGATCCATAAGCTTTATCACCATCGTCACCAAAGCCGTGGATCTCTGGATTCCCGATGGCTAATTCGGGTCTTAGCTTTCTCTGAAACTCGATAGATAAAACTCAAAAAGACTATTCAAACGCTGGATATTCCTTATCCATTTTCTTTGCATGCCTTCTGAGAGCGGGTCGTCCCAGGCGTATCCAGAACTCCATAGTTCTTGCAAATCGACTCGTATTTCAATAGTGACTGGAAGGACAAGGCCAATGGGATCCCAGAATTGAGCGAGGCTTGCAAGACACTTTCGTTTTGTGAGTTGCTTCAGGTCACAGGCGATCTCGTGTTTCTTGGATGTAAACGTATCTTTAACTTTATTCAGTGGTGACCGAGGTAATTATCTAAACAATCGTCATATCGTTCAATTCAGTGTCATCGACTGCCTTGCCAATCTTTTAATAAAGAGTTAACCATGATTGCGAACAGTAAGGGTCCTAATTTAGTTCCCTGTGCCTTAAGGTCTCCAATTAATGTCAGACCATCATTGAAAGAGTACGAGTGTACCCTAAAGCCGGTTTTCCACTTCGCCCGTATCGTACCGAAACGTACTGGTGAGCATGCGCAGATTGAAAAGAGGTTTATAAATCCACGTACTTCCGGGTGTATTCGCGTTCAAAATAAAAAGTTCGTCGCAAGTCAACTTTTTGGCGTACTACGGAAGTACTAACCAATCAACATTTAAGAAATTTTGAAATTTAAAAACGTTTTTGATACGTTTCGGTACGGTACGCTTGAAGTGGAAAACCGGCTTAAGACCCCGTTTACACGGTACCGGACGAATTTGAAACCGGGCTGAAATTCGGCGGAACCGGACGAATTTGGGACCCTCTGACAGGTCAAATTCGCGTGTAAACAGGCGAAAAAGGACGAATTTCAGCCCAAAAGTGCAAGGAAAAATGCGATTTTGTACATGTATTTGGCCATTTTTATTGTTCGGCAATGTTCGCAATGATAAATTATTTGACTGCTATAAAAGACCTGGTCTTATTGCCATGGGTACAAGTAAATCTATAAACTCGATAGCTAACGCACGATAACATGAAGTTAAAGTTAGATTACCTTTTCTTGCAAAACCTAGTCTACACAATTAAGGCACATGCCTCAAAGGTGACTCAACCCAGAGAGACCAGGTATACTTCTCATCATGCTACAGTTCAGTGCACATGGAGGCATTTACAATTACAATACAATATTTAATTGAACACTCCCCAATGGGGCTTTTCAGTGACAATTACAAAGTGATAATTACAATATAGGTCCTATGAAATACAATTTGTGTATAAAGTGAATTACAGCTAAAATCTACTATATATTAAATATTGCATGCGTTATGATAAAAAACTGTCAAGCAAAATTCTCTTTAGTTTGTATTTAAACTCACGAATTGTCTTACTCGCTTTAAGTTCTGGGCATAAGTCATTCCATAATTTAACAGCGCGATAATAAAAAGTCCTCTGGCCTGATGCGCTTTTGAGAAGTGGAATGTTCAAATGAGAAGTTTGTCTAGTTGACCTTCCAATTATACTACCTCTACTTACAAATTGCGAACTTAGATAAGTTGGCGCCGCTCCTGTCATACGTCATTTAAAAGCCATGATTGCTTCGCGATAATAAAGTTTTAATTGTACAGGTATCCATCTTAGTTCCTTTAATACGGGAGTTATATGGTCGTATTTCCTGGTTCCGCTAACGATACGAGCCGCAAAGTTTTGTATACCTTGAAGTTTTCGTATATTCCGATCATTAGTATTGGACCAGACACTTGAGCAGTAATATAACTTTCTGAATACAAGTGAATTAATTACGGTAACAAGTAGCTCGTTCTTGAAGACATGTTTAACCCGACTTATTTGACCTAAGCTAGACATGCAAGATGTCACAGTTTTAAGAATATGTTCATTAAAATTCAAATTACGGTCAAATGTAACACCCAGGTCTTTCACAAACTGTGCAGGGAAAAGTTCTTTTCCCAATAAAGAAAGCTGAAATTTTGGCAATTTAGACACCATTTGTCTGCTTCCATAAACGATCAATTCAGTTTTATCGGGATTTAATAAAAGCAAAATTTTCAAAGCACCAATTGCTGATCCTACAAAGATCATTATTCATGTCGGCGGTAGCAATTTGGGCGTCCTGTACAGGGAAACACATGTAAAGTTTGGTGTCGTCAACATAGCAATCGGTGGAACAGCTTTGGGGTATTTTAGGCAAATCATTGATATATATATATATCTATTAAAGAGTATTGGTCCTAAAATGCTTCCTTGCGGAACTCCATTTTCCACAGATAACGAGTCGGAGAGAGCGGAATGAATACGCACAACCTCACTACGGTTGGACAAATAGCTGTCAAACCATTGTAGAACTGATCGCGAGACGCCTACATCTTGCAATTTCTTGAGTAAAATACCGTGATTTATGCTGTCGAAAGCCTTGCTCATATCCAAAAGAACAATGGCTGTTATTTTCCTTTTATCCATGGCATTTACTATAAAATCAGTTGTTCGAATTAGTGTTGTCTCGGTTGAGTGCCATCTTTTATTGCCACTTTGCTTTGTTGTTAGTCGGTCATTAGCTACGAAATAGGGCATAAATTGATTCAAAGCAGTTCTCTCACAAATCTTTGACAATATGGGCAACAGTGAAATTGGGCGATTATTATTGGCTTCCTCGTGGTCTCCATTCTTTAAAATTGGAATAACTTCCGCTCTTTTCCATACAGTTGGAAAGTTTCAGTTGTAAAGGACTTATTAATAATGGAGGTCAAGGACGGTAAAACAAAAGGAAGACAATCTTTAATCACGCGCAGAGGGATTTTATCGACCCCTGGGGCTTTTCCTGTGGGCATAGATAGAATGATCTCCTCAATTTCATATTGTTCTGCTGGTTTAAAGCGAAATTGCTGTTCCAAGGGAAAACTGGCCTTGGATCCCATTACTTGCCCTGGAAAAAGGATCTCATTACTTGCCCTCCATCTACTTTTGTGTGTTAAAGTCTCGTGGGATTGCTTGAAAGCCACCTATTGTGAATGTATGATCAAAATCGATGTCATGGCATTAAGACTGCTTTAGTGATGGTGCCGTATACAGGGTGTCCCCCCCCAAAAAACCCCCGAAAACTATTGAAATAACGTGTATTGTTAGAATTTGAATGCCTCAGCACTCTGCTGAACTCACAAGTGCATAAAAGCTTGACATAAGTAAATTTTATGCATAAAGAAACCGTTTAAATTCTCAAGAGCAGAAAACCGTGCGCTTTACAATGTCAATATTTGTCAATATTTTACGCATCTTTGCGTTCAGCTTAGTGCTAGGGCATTCAAATTTTAACAATACGTTATTTCAATGGTTTTGCGATTTTTGGGACACCCTGTATATAGTATTACCATTATTACTTTTATACAGTCATAGATATTATTATTATTTTATTATTATTATTGATTTTTTTATTAACATTGTAAATTCATAGAAACTAAAAAAACGTGATATTAAAAATTGCAATAAGTTCAGTTTAAAATTAAACTACTATAATATAAAATATATTGATGATATGTACCATAAAATATTATGGTATGCCTATGACCGATCCCATTCTCATATCGTTCAGATTTCTTACCACTATCATTCTAATAATTGCTAATCTATCATTGCAATCGATATCAATTATCATGGAGTTTCTCACACAAATCAGAAAATTATATGTATTTGTTTTTCTTTTTGGATGGATCCTGTACTACTGTATATTCTTCATTTTGAAACCAAGGTTTATGCCTTCAAGACAACGGTAAAACCGAAAATGAACATTTTAATATTCTAGGAAGATTTATAATGAACATTTTAATATTTAGGAAAATATATACATTATTTTGCAAACGGACTGTACCGCATCTGTTTCCAATGAGCAAAACCATCGTTAACGCAGTAGAGAGTTTTCGAAATATATTTAATAATTACATTACAAATATATAGTTAGAGTTCGGTATCTGTAGACTGCCCGATACAGCATCTTTGAATGTCCATTTTCGGAGTCACCGTTGTTTTTGTATTGAATACTAAGCGGTTCCTGTAACTTATGCCTTCCTTGCAAACACTCCGCCGGGAAAGAAAAGGACTGGGTTCTGGCGGTACTGGACATCAACAAAGCCATGTTTGGTAAGGAGGTCCTCGTACTCTTTCCCAGACCTCTCATGTCCACTTGTACAAATGGAAAGCATCAACATACTGTAAGTCATACCTTGCCAAGGTCCGCACTTGTCGTCATCAAGAATGATTTCACCAATCAAAATACCCCCACCTTTGGAAAATAAATTAAAAGACAGCAACAGTGAGGTAAAGAAAACTGACAAATTATAACTGTCGAAAAAACTGCTTGCGGGGGGCCAGCCACCGAATAATTCTAAGTATAAAAGTTGATCAAACAAGATTTCACTGTTGATCAAAATATATTGAGAGAAAATGTGCTGTGGTCAATGTCCCAGCTGGTCAACAGCCTTTCCAACACAAGCCCAACCGACAATAGCTGGAAAATCATGCACATCCCATGATTAATTAACGAAATTAAGACTACTGAGCGGTTGCCGGCAATAATAAAAGCATAAAATCGAGTTCCTACCAAAATCACAGGGGAATCTCTTGGTAGCGCTCACCGGGCTAACCCACCTCATGTCAAGCACATGACATAATGGCCTGGCAAAACAGGCCAGCCCGGTTCATATGAACAGCCCCTTAGCTGTTATTACCAAAGGCGCGCGTGATTCAGCATCTTATCTAGCCTGCGTAGCAGGCGTTTATTTGCTTGCAGGAGCGAGAAAAATGAACGCCTGCTACGCAGGCAACATCTCGGGTCGGCACGAAGCTCTAGGAAGATGTTCTGTGATTGGTTGATTATGACAATGACAAAAGAATAAGCTATAGAATGGATTTTATAAAGAACGAAGCAAGAACAATATTCCTTTTGTTTATGTAAGCCAAATACGTCTTTTGGCATTGTCATAATCAGCCAGTCACAGAACATCTTCCTAGAGCTTCGTGTTTACTGTACATCTCGCCCATTATCGTCCCCAGAGCCATTTTCACTCGGTCACTCGTTGAAAATTAGGCTCTGTCAAGAGCATGCGCTTTAGAAACTACTGCAAATTTTCGTGCACCTCCGGTTCCGTGTACTGCACGTATCGTAAATAATCGTTATATTTTACTATTACAAGTTACATTATATTTTATAGTTACATTATATTTTATTATTATTTACAAGTTTCACGCCGCTTATTGATATCCTGTTTATTTTCAAGATTATGTATAAATTTATTTGCTGACGTGACGCCGGCGCCATTTTTTTACAAGATTCCGCAGGCCCTCGCCAGATTGTGCGTGACCTTCGCATGACACAACGAGGGCCTGCGAAGGAGGCAGATATCAGAGTGAACATGGGGACTGGGGCGAGAATGACGCTGCATTCCAATTTCCAAATGTCCACGATTTCTAGCAATGAATAATTTACCTGAAGGAAGACTGGTGTATATTTTGTTTAAAAGCAAATCTATGCTGTCTTCGTCCCAGTCATGCAGTATAGTGACCAAACTGTAGAGATCTGCCGGAGGCAGGTCATCTTTAAAGAAATCTCCAGCCACAATTGAGACATTGTCCCTGTTAGGGCACTCTTCCACAGATGGTCTGAAATGATCAGCAACATTAACAACTGCTGGCAGGTCAAAAACAGTCGACTTCATCTTCGGGTAGGCTTTCACAGCAGCATAGGATAACGCTCCCCCAGCACCTATGTTAAAACCAAGTATAGAGTGTTGAGTACAACAAAATCTCGTGATCGGTATAGGCAACTCTGCATTATGGACTTATTTACACTTAAAGGAACAAATAGACTAAGACTAAGATTAAGATGTTTTGTTCATCCGATGCAACTCACCCTGGTGTGTTGGGAGTGGATAGGACATTCAACTTCGGTTCATGTTATGTTACTATACTTTGTTATCAGCAAAATAATCTAATCCGCAAAGGCACACAGAATCATCCAATCATGCTAGGACCAGTACTTTTACACTGGGATGGACTCTATCCTACATATATCATGGGTTCTTTTGGCATTTAAAAAGTCAATTTAAGTCAGGCATTTAAAGATGATGTCCACTCCGTTCTGCGCATCAGTTCTGCTCATAACAAATGGGGACCCCCAGATATAAACATTGCCCAAATTTTGCATCTTTCGAACTTTTTTGAATTGAAACGTAGAGTATATTCATTTACAAGCATGGCGAACCAGAAAAGTGTTAGATATTAAGTTAGTATATCATATTTTACAAATATAGCAGTTCAAAACGTAAACAAAGTTCGCACATGCGCACACGAGTGGACGTCATCTTTAAGTATTAATGACATTCAGGTTGGTGCTCGTAATCTTCTGGTCGGATCTGATGAAAAAGCTCTAACAAAAGCAATTAAACAGTAATTTCCATCGTGACATCACATTCTCTGCCGTCGTCACATCGAAGACAATGTGAAACGTCATCTCTGTGGAAAGGTTGGTGCAAACGACAGACAGACCAAAGAAGTCATGAATGCGGATATTTTCAGTGGAGACAATGGGCTCTTAGCTGTTGATGACGAATATGAGTTTGCTTTGATACGTTTCGAGCTGGAAGAGAAGTACTGTGCCAGTATGCCAAATTTTCTTCCATACTAACTACAAGCAACATTTCTGGAATATGTGTTCCTTCCAAGCAAGAAAAATAAATCCGTCCCTATTACCTGGAAGAACAATTCATGTGAAAGCATCAATCACATTTAAAACTTATACGCGCGATTGGAAAGTCCAGAAAATTCCGGATTTACAATTAGTGGAAAAACTGTACAAGATCGTGCAGCTTCAATACGCAGATGTTAGCCGTGCTCTCTATGACTATGGGATGGGAAATTACGTAGTCGCTCCCTGGATGTCAAAGTTCAAAATTAGCCAAGCTAACTGGGCTGCCAAATAAATAACAGAAAAAGAAACTTGGTTTTTGAAGTTCTTGAAAGGTACACCCAAAGTGGAGAAAGCCGTCAAGGCGTCAAGTGAACAGACGGAAGGTTGACTATACCTAAGACTCAAAAACTGTTAGGAAACGAAAGAGAGTGAAATGTACTCGAACTAGAAAATGCTAGCATTATGCGTTCTGTTTTGTAAATATTAAATTAAGGTAAACCAAAATTTAAATAAAATCATAAAGTTCATCAAAGATTGTCTCGTAACATATAAGCTCTTGTTGTTTAGTATTATATTCTAACTCCGTTTATCAGCGTTCTCTTGACCATAAAAGATTCAGATAATTTTTCCAAACTTTTGACAAAAATAGTCCGGATAATTTTTGTCAAATGTTTTGTGAAATCATGTAAACGGTCGGTCCAGGACGCAGGACGGTCCCGGTCGGCGTTTAGTACCCACTGGTAGGACCTTCCTTTAAACCTTTTTAGAATTTATTGTATAAATTTAGTCCTGCCTTGAAGACTTTCTTCAGGGCTGAGGGAAGGTGATTTTGTTTGTTACGGATCTGTTCTTTTTTATAAAATATTCGAGTTTGTTTGCCACGGAGAGAATAACTCGAAATGGCAGCCAAAATCAAATGACAAGCCCAAAAACAATGCTCTTGCATACTAGCTGAAGCTCACAGCTAGCACAATGAATTTTTCAATCTAATAAGTTTATTCTATCATATAATTTTGTTATCTAACTTTAGTTATTTATTTTATTAATTTTACAATTATAACAATTGAAGGCTCAGACAACAGGACAAATAAAGTCCTGATCAGAGGTCCTAAATTAAGTCCTGCCTGAAAATATCTGCATTAAAATTTCAACTGATACTAGAGCAAAGACGGAAATCATGTTGTCAAACATTTATTTTTATTTTTACAGTCTTGTTTTATTAGTATTATTAGTATTCTTTTACAATCTTGTTTTATTAGTATTATTAGTATTACATTTACAGTCTTAATTGTATCAGAACCTTGACAAAGTATAAAGTTAGTTTAGTATACTTACTATACTCCAGATGTTAGACAATCCAAAGGTTTTTTATTCTTTGAAATATATATAAACCAGCTGTTGGAATGATGGTAAAGCATATTTTTTATCCACTTTTAATTTAAAGTAAGCGATAATTAGTCATATGATCATTACTAGCCAACCGGTTAATGTAATCTGCATGTTCTCCAGATTATATTGAGGGTCTGTACCAATGTTTTACTTGTAACCAGAGCCATACCTTAATATCAACAGCATGTTATTACATTTGAAACCCCAGGTACACGATACCGGATTGAATTGTCATACTCGTAAATTTAGCTGTTTCAAAAATATCTGTAAACTTGCAAATGAAATATGACAAAATAAAACAAAAACTGTTAAAAGAGAAAATTTTGTGGACAGACTTTATTCCTGAACGGCATAATTATATGTTCATGTGGTAAAAAGTGAATCTGGTATTGTGCAACTAGGGACTGATTATCTGGCCTGACTATTTCAGTTTATTCAGTACCGGTTACCGCTATGACCTGTTTAACCCTCTGTGTTTCACCTAGCTCATTATATGTTTTATATTGTAACATTTGTAATATATATTACTGTACCATAATGTACCATTTGTCCTACTGATTCTCTTTAAAACCTAACCCTAATCTACCCTAACCCATGGCCTGTCTTCATACAGCGAAATGAACTAGATTTAACAGAATGACATCTAAAATATAAATTTAATTAAAACATATACTGTATATTATTATATGTTGGTATATTATTATATGTAGGCATATTTGTGATAAACTGACATTTATAAATATCTCAACTTCCATATAAATCATAATATCCAGCAAAAGGGCATTTGATTATAAAAACTCAAGTCATGGTATTTAACTTTTTTGAGCCCCCCCCCCCTTTCTCTAGATTAAAACTCTTTTGACCCCCTTATTTATAAGTGTAATACTTCATTTGCCCCCTCCCCATTTACCAACTCCTTACTTCCCCAAAATAATGACCACTCCCTAAGAGTTTCTCTAAAATCACTAAAATTAAATTTCTTTCTGCAAGCGATAACCAAACTGGAACACACTAAAAACACTCTGCTTAAAATTCCTGGTTAATTAAACTACCTGGTTAACCTAGAAGTAACCTTATTTGGGTCAACTTAATCCCTGCGCGGAACGCGTAAAGGGCAAAGCCCTTGGCGAGGGTACTAATTCCGCTTGGCTATTCACACCCGGAGAAAGGAAAGCACTAGCAAAGTCTAAAGTTCATCAATAATTGTGGGCGCATGGCTATGCATGGGTGGTCATCTCACTGATTTCAAAAATATAGCTGATTGACAGGGGTGAAGGAACTTTTGAAGCAAAGATTGAAAAAAAAACATTCATGACAGAAAGCGTTTCATACAATATTAAGTTGTAAATCACCTTTTTCAAATTTTAATGAAGTGATAAGTAAGAAAAATCCTGAAGTATTCTATCGAGTATAGGGTAAGTTTATTTTTACTGTTTATGTATCACTTTGCAGTCCAGTTTTCACCTGAACAGAAGGCCTTGAACATGCACAGCTTTCCTTTTCATTCTATGTGAAAGTTTCTTGTTGTTTTAATTTCTTTTATAAAAGCTCAAAAAAAGAGAAAATTATTTTCAAGAGCAACCTGTATGACTTAAATTTATTTCATTTCAAAGTACGAGTATTAATAAGTTGAAGAGTTTATCGGCAAAAAGCAGTTAATTTCATTTTCAATAAACATTTACAAAACGTTTTACGAAGCATTTTGTGTTGAATTTTACGTTATAGTAAGTAAGGCCCATAGAAAGCAAAATAACATACCTACTTTACAGATGTTACTTTATGTGGTTAAAAGTGTAAAACATTCATTGGCAGGTTGCATTTATTTTCCACACAGGACATCTTTTTACCAGCTAAATTGTGACCCCCTCAAATTCAGTTTATATACCTCCCTCCCTGGAATTTCCTAGGAATTCATTGCTAGATACCCCTGGAAAATGACTTTAATAATCGCAGACCATCACCTGGATTTTGGTCTCTAATCACCCCACCCCTGGATTTCTGCAGTCTTTTTCACCCCTGCCCCTGGATTTTCCAAGGCCTTTTTTGCACCCCTCCCCTGGATTTTCCATTGATCTCAAACCCCCCCCTGCAGAAAATAAATGCAATCTACCATTTATTTTTGCTGTTTTGAACAAAAAATTAAGAAAACAATTTTTGTGTTGTCATAGCTAACATGACACGAGCCTGCATATACCATGTTGATGTAATTAGAATTACTTCATATTCAAACAATGTTTGGGAAATGTGGGTGAGGGGTTGTTGCATGCATGTATAGAATTCTAGTATTGCTGGTTAATGTTCCTGCTTGGTTTGTGCAATATATATCATCATATGGTCATCCTTGACTCTATGATGCAAGTCATCATACAAGTGTACTTTATGTACAATGTATATCATTATACAGACACATTGATAACCTGACCCTCACCCTGATGGGTGGAGGGATGGCACGACCTACCTATTGGCAGGCAAACACATTCGCATTTTGCGCACAAAATCAAAACAATGTTTACCCGTCTAATATACAGAATGAACGCACACACCTCCAAGATCACAAAGATGGCTGAACTCAGAGAGATCAAAGGCACCAAGCACTGAGCTCATGGACATTTTCATACGACTACCCATCCCTTCTTCAAACTCGATCAAACTTTCTCTGTTTTCGTACAAATTGGCAAACGTTTCTTCGGATGTCGTCCCAAATGTTCGCTCCCACTGACTTTTTCCTTCTTTCACGGTGTGTTCAAAATTGGCTACCAACTTAGAAAGTGTTCGTGCCTCGAGCATAGCGTATCCGTAAATTGACTCTGGACTTTTGGGGAGAAGATAGCGTTTGGTCTGCTCTGAGTTTGAATAGAGAGCGTTATCCATTTTTCCACCTGGTATTTCCTTCACTAATAGGTCCACACTGGTGCAATTATCGAGTAAAACCGTCGTAGCAGTCTCGTCCAGAGTCAGATCTTTTGCTGTCTGCTGGGCTGTTCGTCCTCCATCTTTCTTCTCCAGATATTCAAATAGTCCATGATTAAGGGCTGCAAACAAACCGTACGATGCTCGGTAGCCACCAATGAGGTTAAGAACGTGATAGTTACTGCATGCAGAGACAATTTTCGACGCCATATCAATACACTTTAGTGACTTTACTGCTAGTATGGTTCTAGCCTGCGAGCAGGCTCTGGTTCAAGCTAGCCTCCTCCGCAGGCAACCAGAGGCAACTGTGTTTAATATCTGTCGTCACCATACTTACCCGTGTGGATGGTTAGGTGCAGACGTGGTCAGCTAATGATCTCCGGATTTCAGTTACTTGGATTCAGGTCCGAATCACGTGGACCTGTCCATTCAGGACCTGACCACCGAACGTCTGCACCTTATCACACCGAACTTAGTTCGATGGAAATTAAATTGAAAAACAATTGTAGTCATGAAAAAAAAAAAAAATTGCTTCTTCTCTGAGCAGATAACCATTGCAGTTGGCTACGAATTAGCTAATGACCTGAGAGTCTGCTTGGCACTCTCTATATCCGATATCCTGAGGGCACATGTCGTACCCAGACTGCGCGCGGCTCCTATGATATTAACCTTGGTTACTATGTAACCTCATTTAATATGTAGTTCTGCAACGTTATGCATCAGTCAAATCCTCTGAGTCAAATCCAAGCGTGCCCATCCCCCCCCCCCCCGGGCCACCGCGGGGCATTTTCCTGTAAAGCACGTCCCGGGGGTTGAGCATTTGAACTCAAACCTTTCCCCGGGGGCGGGGTATTTGAATTAAGGATTCCAGGTTTTGGGGGGGGGGGTACCGATCCTGAAGCACGAAAAATAATATGCAGCGATCTTGAAGCATGAAAAATATTTGAATTAAGGATTCCAGGTTTTGGGGGGGGGGGGTACCGATCCTGAAGCACGAAAAATAATATGCAGCGATCTTGAAGCATGAAAAATAAAAGAAGGAAGTCCTGAAGCACGTAAAATAAATTTATTACGAATCTGAAATGTAAAGTGAACATGAAATGTAAGCAACAATCATACTTAGAAGTCTTAAAGGTGAATATAAACAGTCTGTACTAGGCGGTGTGTTCACCTATTTGTTTACAATTGCGTCGATGTTCATGATTTATATAAACTTTGAAATCTCCGTTCCCCAATCAAAACATAGCTAAAATCCAGAAACAAAATTAATGGAATATATTGTCCAGAAACGAGAAATAACCGTCTTTAAATACAGCTGAAAACGGAGAACGGATATTGAATACACCGCAAGCACGATACACGGCATCCATGTCGGGATCGAAAAACGTTTAATAAAAAGATGACTGAACGAAGAACGAATAATTAATTTCAGAATGATTTGAAGTAGGCGGTTGTACCAAAAAAGTAGCCGGCTGTGACTGATAGTTAAAAAAACGCGCAGGGAGGGGGGGGGGGGCGTGCCCTCGCATGGAAATTTTAAAAATTTTCGCGCGCAAATTAACAATCAGGTAATATAGAATAAGTGAGAAGATAAAGTACAACTGTTCACTTGTTAGATTTAGATGTCATTTGCATTTATACTTGTAAGTGACGTTGTACTTTAATGTGCTACTTGTAAGTTTAATCACGAAAGTGTTTGCTGTCCGGAAAATGAAGACGCAATTTACAAACAAAAATATGCATATTTTACGCACATACATATTACAGTAGCTGAGTAGCATGCAGTGCCGTAGGAAGCTCTTTTTGATTAGGGGCTGAGAACGAGGGCCGAAGGCCCGAGGAAATTTTTTAATTTAGAGTCTCTGAAATGCCATTTCCTGGACTTTGGGGAAGTTTAGAACAGAATTCTGATGGTCAGAAAACAGTGTTTTAGTATGTCGAAATTTACAATTTGTTTACAATTTAGTAGTACTAAATGGGCAAAGGCGTATTTAATTAACTATATATTGCATGGAGAAGTTGCAGGAAAGTATGGGTAATATGCCGGATTCTTTGCAGTTTGTCATGGATAATGTAGCCGCTTAAAATTAATCAATTGTCAGTATTTTACAGGTATATTATTTAAATGATAAAGGTATGCATGCATATTTACCGATTTACGATTTGTTAAATGTTAATATCCATGTACAGTAAATGCCATGATTTCATAAATCAGTTTATACTGACAATACAATTATATTATATTTTCTCTGTTTAACAACTAAAATTTTGTTATACTATTATTGCCGTAATTTTCCGAATGGCCAACCCGATTTTCCGAATATGTTAATTCTAAATTCCCCCTCGCTACGCCCAGAGTTTTTCACTTCATGACTTTATCATAATTAATTCGTTGTCAAAGAATTAGTCACTTGCCAAAAACATTTACCAAAGTGGTTCTGAAGGTTCTCTGGCTCACTGTCAAATTTGGATTCCCCAATGGCAATGCTTAAAGCCTGTTTTCCACTCACGTATTTCGCCGCCGCTGGCGAAAAATTTTGACAAAGAAGTATTTTTTTGATATTCATTCGCCGCTGAAGAAATTTGTTCTCCTGCTACAGTTGCTTAAAATTTTCAACTTCTGTTTGACCTTTTGTTCACGGCGCGAAAGAACAACAAATGAACTTTTTCGGTGGCGAAATGTTTCGCCAGCGGCGGCGAAATACGTGAGTGGAAAACGGTCTTAAGTCACTGTCAGAGTCAATCAGAGTTATTTTCCAGGAAGATTCACTTCGACACCAACTTGAGAAAGCAAGCTATGTTTGGTACTATATATTATTGATCTTCCAAAATAAGTGATATTTTGCTTGAAATCCAATTGGAACATAACAAACATCGTGTTGTTTCGCTTGTACCTTTTATTGTAAGTGTATATAACTTTTTTCCTGTGACCAGACGAAAAGTAGCCGGCGGTAAAAGTTCAAGTAGCCGGCGGAACTCCGCCGGCCGCCGGCTTATTCTGAAACCCCTGCTTGCCAAGTGAAGCCTGGTTCACATATACCTGCTGTTTGTTGATGCGCTATTGTTGTTAAAAGTTCAACTAAATAATTCACAAAAGAATGTATGCATGAACAGCTGTAAACAATGATAATGCAGGCATATGTAAACCAGGCTTAAGATGCCAACAAAATCTTGATTTTTGTAGTAATCAAATTTCGGTAGTTGATATTTCCAAGTTGTTATCTCTTCTCACTTATTGAAATGGTTGCTTCAACAGAAAGATCTTTTCCTTTTATATATCAATTCACTTTAATAACATGTTGCCAAATGTCTGATGATTTGACTAAAATTAGTAAAATATAATCAAAATGTCAACCCCTTCATATAAATAAACATGCCAAAATAATATTCCAGAAAACAATACAATTTAATATAATTCCTTTATTAAACAAATTATACCTTTCGTATCGTTCCATTCTTCGTTTTGCGTTCGAAATTATGCCAGATAATTTCCTCAAATTGTAGTTCCTCGGCTGAACAATTGATACATTGTAAACATTTGGTTGCTTCGAGCGAGCGATTCAATTAAATTTGCACGTCGTTTTTAGACCGCGAGAGACATCGTGATATATAATCCTTTCAATTGACCAACTAATTTTCGTATAACTTGAATATTTCGATGCATTTTAAAACATTTTTAAAGTTATAATACTCGCAAGCTTCGCTCCTCGCGACCTCGCCTGAAGATTTCAAACTGAATATATAATTAGGGTCAAAAGCCTACTTAGGGGGTGGGGTACATTGACACGGCCACTAAGGTACATTGACGCGTCCATTTTGTTCGATTTATGGCAGGCCTCTCTCCCAGAAAATTTTTTTCCAAACCCATTCGCAGGCTAAAACCCACAGAGAGGCCTGCGGAGGAGGCTACTCTTGTACGCGGTTCTGACATTTTATCACTGTGAGATTCTATATTAACTTCCTTGTCAGACATCTTTAGCAAACACGGTCTCAATATCAACGCAGATATTGTTCTCAGATTCAATTGTTTACAGCTATACGCGACAATCACAACACAAAGACGAATATATTGTTCAATAAATGTCGCTCCAAAGCGTATAGTCGAAAACTGTAGCTAACCCGCGTTAGCTTTAATTCAAAACTCGCTCTAAATCATAGATTTGATACGTATAACTCAACTCCTTTCTCTCCCGTCTCAATTCAGCGATACGCAATAAAATTTCTTCGACAATAATTCAATATTAAATCTTTATACGAATAGTATAGCAATAGGAATAGGAATAGGTTTTCTATAATAAATACAGATATAAACAAGAAATTACTTATATATCTTACACATAACATAATATTAAAGTAACGAAGAAAGTCCTTACCGACTGTATCAAACTAATTCACATCTTTAACAATCAATGTTTCGCTCGCAATAAGTCACAGTTAGATAGATAGATAGATAGATAGATAGATAGATAGATAGATAGATCAACTTTATTTAAACACATTGGCCTTTTCAGCAAAAGCTGATTTCCAAAAGGGATGTGTACTTACAAATTATTATTTATATACTAGCTCTAATATTACATACATAACAAATACAATTATATACCTATTTAGACAAAAATTAACTACTACTTTAAGTCGAGATTAAGGTCGAGGAAGATAGCTTTTTACAGAACGAATTATACGATACCGAATTGCGTATCTCTTCAGGTATCTGATTCCATAGTTTAGCCCCACTATATTGGAAGCTTTTTTTAAGGATTCCGTTTTTGGTCTTGGAATATAAAACCTTGTTGAAGAACCTCTCAGATTATGGTCATGAATGGTATTCAGATTTTGGAAAGCTTCGCATAGTCGTTGGGGGGCTAAACCATTAACTGTCTTGTTCATGAGCCTGGTTTTCATTTGTGCCCTACGCTCTTCAAGTGTTACCCAGCCTAGAGATTTTCGTGCCAAAATAGACTGACCATGTTCATTTTTTAAGTTCATGATCAACCTAGCCGCTCTGTTTTGGAATTTCTGTAGACGTTCACTTAGGCCTTTATTAAGTGTATCCCATACTTCACAGCAATAATCAAAATAAGGTTGGATTGAGGCATTATAAACTTTTATCAAAATGTCTTGTTCGACATACTCCCTCATTTTTCTAATAGCCCCAATACCTGATGATATTTTACTGCTAATATGGTTAATGTGTTTTTCCCAACTCAAGT